TAATGTTGCACATTAAATTCCATTTCAATAATGTTGGATCATTTGTAACTAGCCCTGCCATGTTCCACAAAGAGAGGGACCTTACTGACCAGCCATGTAACTACAAACTTTTCAAGGTAAACCATACATTATGGAGGAATGGCATCTCAACAGGAGACACAAACTGTACCTGATAATACGTGGGGCAATCCAAAAGTTTCCAAAATTTGAATTTTGCGCCCGAATGGTTATGAGTACATTGAAATACCGCTAGGTGTCTCCTCACACATCCTTCTTGAATCAGTGTGGCAAGTGGCGTCGAGTTGAGTGGTTGGCTTTATTGCTGGTGAACGTATTTCCATTGTTGTGTTTCCGTGAGTTTGCGATGGCGTGTCTGTATGAAGTTTTATTTTAAACTTGGTAAAACCGCTGCAGAAACGCACCAAATGTTGAAGCAAGCTTTTGGTGACAACAGTTTAGGCCAGACACAAACTTACGACTGGTATAAGCGTTTCAAAAATGGCAGAACATCGACTGATGATGACGATTGTTCGGGACGGCTGTCAACTGGCACCACACCAGAAAATGTCATGGAAGTTACGGATCTGACTCTGCAAGATCGTAGACTGACCATCGAAGGCCGCTCACCTTGGAACTAAGTTATGGTACATGTCAACGAATTTTGTCAGAGGAACTGAACATGAGGAGGATTGTGGCGAAGTTTGTGGCACGACTGTTGCAAAATGAACAGAAGCAGCATCGCTTGGAAGTCTGCAGCGAACTTCAGCAACAACTTCAAGAGGATCCAAATTTTCTTTCGAAGGTTGTCACTGGTGACGAAAGTTGGGTTTATGGCTACGACCCTGAAAGCAAGCCGCAATCGTCACAATGGAAGAGCCCTTCTTCACCTCGACCAAAAAAAAGCTCGACAAGACAAGAGCAACATTAAGTCCATGTTGATCTGTTTTTGTTATATCGACGGGATTGTTCATAAGGAGTTCATCCCTCCTGGTCAGACAGTCAATAAAGAGTTGTATCGCGATGTTGTAAGACGTTTGAGGGAGAACATGAGGAGAAAACGTCCAGAGAAGTGGCGCACGAACGACTGGGTACTCCACCATGACAATGCACGACCACATATGGCTTACATTGTGCAGCAATTTTTGGCTGAAAACAAGATGGGGCAGTTGTTCCCCACCTACCGTACTCGCCAGACTTAGCTCCATGCAACTTCTTTCTCTTCCCCAAGATGAAAATCAAGTTGAAGGGGCGAAGATTTTGATACAGTTGAGGCAATTCAAGAGGAAATGCAGACGGTACTAACACCTAACAAAGAAAGACTTCCAGGATGCATTTGAAAAGTGGCAGAAACGCTGGGATCGGTGTATGCACTCCCAAGGGGACTACTTTGAAGGTGATGGTGCAGAATAAGATCTAGGTAAGATGTAATAGTTTTTATTAATATTGTAACGTGTCTGGAATCCAGAAGAGTCACTTCTATGGAAACGCTAGAACAGACCGTTGCATAGGAAACAACAGTCGCTCTATTGTAGTTCTAACAGGAGTCTCCATGGTTATAACAAAGGGTTCGTTGCATAGCAGTGACCAAGGTTATATGGCGGGGTTGAATGCATTCGCACAGTCTTGGAACAACCGCCAGGGAGGACAGTCCAGTGTTGGCCGAGATATTGTAAGCAGTAATTGTAACACTGCAAGTGGAAATGATTGTAAAGTGTGTGTAAGGCGAGCGAACGGAATAAATTCGCTATATCAGACAACGGCGTGAAGTTATTTGTCGCGTTATACACCCAACAC